GTCTTGGTTCAGTGCTGAGACTTAACCCCTAGGCCACCAGGGAGGCCCCTTCTCATCATCTTTCAATAGTTGAATTAATGTCAGATAAATAGAAATGTTTCTCCACTATATCATATAACCTACACACACACACACACACACACACACACACAGAGGCACATGCACACACACATACCCCCCAATGGCAGAGAATCCCAGCAAAGATGGAAGTCAATAAATCCCACCTTTCCTCTCTGGCATCTCTTCATCTGAGCCCAAGTCACTGTATCCATGGAGAGGAACCCACAGCCCCAGGCGCAGAGTCCACCAGCCAAGCTGTCGGCACGAGGAGCATGTGGAAGGCCCAGGCCCGGCAAAGGCCTCCATAGTTGTTGCTCCTTGGCCTAAAGGGGCCAAGTCTAAATTCCAAGTCTAGATTCCAAGTCTAAAGGGGCCAAATCTGATCCAATAAAGCTGCTGCCTCCTCAGTGTCACCTGTCACAGGAAGGGCACTTTCTTTCCCCTTCTGTTCTTGTCCTGAAGCCATTTTCCTTTCTGGTCCCCACTCCTCTGAACAGCTCTCCGCCTGGGCAGCATGGTTGTCTGGGTAGGTCACTCCTGCCTCAGCAACTCCCAGATCACCCTCTTCTCTCTGGAAGATCCACCCCGACTGCAGACTTCCCAGCTGCGAGTTCACCCTTCATTTGTCATCAAGGGCTTCCTTCTATCCCCAAGTCCCACTTCCTCATTCTCCTTCTGCCTCCTGCAGCCCATAACTCTCAGGCCAGGGATTAACATGGTGATTTATCTGCAAAATTCCTTGAGTGAGGGATGAGGCGGGAGAGACCCCAGAGAGACCCTTGTCCCTGAATATTGAGTGTTTATTCTGTACATTTAGCAAATGATAAAACAAGCTCCAGGGCCCTAGGATAGGGGGAGGTGACTCAATGGTTGGGGTTCAGTTAGGGGATATTGTCATTCAGGAAAGTTCCAAGGTTTCCTCTCCTGTGCCCAGCCCAGATGAATGGCCTGGTCCATTTTTGGTAGCAAATTAAGTCAGATGCCCCCAATGTTACTCCAGCTCGCCCTCTTCTTTCAAGACCCCTTTAACCAACATGACAGTATTGGTTGGTTCTGTTGCAAGCACTTGACCAAACCTAGGGACAACACCGGACAGAAGACTAAAGATGGGCTTCCCATGTCACTGAACAATAGGAAGAAAATAGAAGAGATGGAAGACAAGAGCCTGACCAGAATCTCTTTCTTGGCTGACACTGGCCTTGAGAGTTGTGATTTGAGAGGAAACCTAAATTAGATCTCCATGAGGATAACTTTCCATTCATTACCCCCCTTTTAAAATATTTATTTATGCATACAAGAACTAGGGTGTAGGCCGGAGGGGTGTGTGTGTGGGGGGTGGGGTGAGAGGATTCACCAGAGACGGAGTGGGGAGCAGAACAGGCAGATCTACTGAAATACACTGCTGAGGGGAGCAGCGGTTGTGTGTTTTGGTTGTCTTTTTAACTAGTTGAGAATTGTTAATCCACCACTCTCACTCACCCTGGATAGTTTAGTTCCCCAGGTTGCTGTAAGTCAGCCAGGCTAAACTGAAGGCACTGTTTGTTGATGTATCATAACAAGGGAGCCAAGACATGTTTTCCCCCTTCTTTCTAGCCCCCCACTTAGTATTGGTATTTCAAGGACTCGAGAACTTCAGGGAGGGAGGTGGCAATGCTTCTTGGACAGAAATTGGGCACACTGAGAAATAAATTAGAGACCGAAAAAAGGGCAAAGTGTGTTGTATGGGGGGTGGGCACAGAGAATCTATGGGACCTGCATTGATGTATCCAGAGGCTGGGGGAGCTGGGGCAGCTGAGATAGTGAAAGAAAAAAAAAACCTGAAAATTAAGAACTTGGTGATCAGGTAGTGGCAGAGACAAAGCCCCTCCCCTCTTCCCCTCCCTCCATTCTGTCAGCTCTAAGGAATTGAGGGTGACATTCTAAAATGAGGCTTAGAGTTTACCCAAGAGTCCTTGTCCCAGATTTTTTGATCCCCCATGACTTGACCCTCTTCACTTAAAGCTCTCCCCCAATGCCCCTTATTGTCTCTGTTTCAAAAGGGTGTCAACAAGCCTTTGGAGATCAATGCACATTAGCCCATCTGCTTTCACTTTGAGGTGCTACATTCAGCATATGTCTCCTGAGCCTTCTGATCGATTGCTCTGAGCCCTGCCATTTTGATTTTGAGTTGGAGTTCTCTTGGCTTATCTGAGGTTTTCATTTTCCTTGCAACCAACCAAGTTTTCCATAACAGCTCCACAGGGATAGTGCTTTTCCCCAGCTTGGGCTAAGCCAGAGATGAAGGTAGTGGGCTCAGATCCTGAAGGGTCAAACCAGGAATATGGTTTCAGGTTCCCTGACTTGGTTCATTTTGGGGCCCCATAGTGACCTGAGATCCAGCCCAGGCAAATCCATGTAGTCATTTGAGGTTCCACAGAACCCCTTTATGTTCTCAAGCCAGATGCTGGGCAACTGAACGAATGTGGAAGATGAACTGAGGCAGAAAGAAAGCAGGACAAGAGTGGAGTGGACACCCCAAATGCTATGTTAGCTGAAGATGCCCAGGCAGAGCTGGGGGGCACTGGCGCTGAGCTCTGATAAACAGCACTTTATGAGGAAATTATAATGGCATTTTGTAATGGGGATGGTCTCTCAGTGCTTATTAACTCCAGTCTAAGACATTGGGTCAGATGCCTGGGATCTGGGATATTGCAATGGTTTAGTTTTTGGGTGCGAAAGTACGGATGACTGTAGGCTCACCAAAACCCAACCATGAAACCCCAGTGACCCCTGTCCTCTGAGAGGCAGTTAAGCAGAGATAATACAAAAAGGAAGACCCTAGGGTCATTTAGCTTTGATTTGGGATTATGTGCTGTGACTGTTGCTTTTTGCATTAGATTTTCCACATTTAATATTATTAGCATTATCGTTATTTTTATGTAAATTGCAAAATTACAGAGCTAGAAGGGATTTGGGGTTTTGTCCCTCTCATGATCTTCAGTCTGTGTTTAGTGAAGCCCAAGGTTCTGGAGAAGAGTCCCGGGGCGGAAAGCAGGACAGCGGGGTGAAGGATTTGCATTGTATAGATTATAAAACTGAACCCCCAGGAGGGGGTAGGACCTTCCCTGCCTGTTAGCTCTAGAGCGGGACCCAGACTCTGGTCTTCTGTTCTTAGAGAAAACAAATATTTATAACTCTGAGATTTAAGAGAATGTTGCAAAACTCAAACCAGTCTTCAAAGCTGACTAATAAAACTGTGTTCCAAGATTCACCCTGTAGTGATCGCTGATACTGAATGTTGAATGGGAATTTTGGAAATTTTAGTTATCTCTTTTACTTTCTCTGGGTCAATCTATAAGACAGGGGTATCAATATACAGAGAACAAATGCACCAGCTGGTCACTCTGTATATGTGTGTGTGTGTGCAGCACATGTGTGTATGTGGTTTGTGTATGGTGGGTGTTGGTTTGTGCGTGTGTGGTTCCTGTGTGGAGGATGTGGATGGTGGTGTGTGTGTGTGTGTGTGTGTGTGTGTATGTATGTTGTGTTTGTGGGTAAGGTATTTATACGGGGTGTGAGTGTGTTTGCGTGGGGTATGCATGTCTCTGTGGAGTGTGTATGTAGTTGATGGTGCTGTGTGGATGTGTGTTGGATATAGATCTGCACGATGTGTGGGTGTGTTGAGTCTGAGCATGAAGAGTGGCAGATGCACGTGTGAGTGTGTTTGTGTGTCTGTGTGTGGATAATGTTACATGCATGTGCATGTGTTTGCATATGTGGTGTGGGGGTCTTGGAGTGTGTGTGTATGAGAGAGACACACACACTTGAGAGACACAGAAATAGATTCGCAGAATAAGACAGAGAAATTTGCAATAGAAGTTCCAAAAGGGGAAAGATAAAGATAGTCTCCTGGGGAATCTGAAACCCCCCAGGAAAATTGCCCAGACTCCAGAGTAAGCAGGACCTGGATTTTTACCCACTGCTTGTCACTACCTGACTTAGGGGGCCATGCTAGTTCTTTAAGGTATACCCTCTTTTACTGTGAAATGCTTCACGACGATACTTTCTCGGAGGTTTGCTTTGAGAATTATAGGGGATAATATACAAAAAGAATGCCCAGTGCAGAATTAGTATTTAAGAAATGACCATTACATTATTATTACTATTTCTATTCTCTTTTTATTACTATCAACGCCATACACCAGTTATACGAAACTTCTAATCTCTCATAAGGTAAAAATCCCCATTTCTGTCCCTGTTTTAGCCCTTTACAATTTGTTTCCAGAATTAGACTTTCTATAAAAATCTCCAGCTATTTCAGGAATGATTTGTAGTTTTTCCGTGTGGGATATCATTGCTGGTATTACTTTGATTATTGTGAAAAAAAGAAAATATGCCCCAAAGAATCCAAGAGTGGTTATTATATTCTGAGTTCTCAGACCTCTGACCTCTAAGGCAAGGAGAGACGGTCTTTTGTCTCTCAGATATGGCCCATGGAGATAACTTTCACTCATTATCCCTGGCAGTTAATAAGGAGAACTTGGATCTAGGGAGCAAATAGGGGAAAAGAACAGGAAATGTGCCTCCTTCTCTCAGGCCCTTTTACTTAATCAGTTTCCTAAAACCTTTAAAATAATCTAGTGATCTTTGCAGTGTCACGTCCACGTTACAGATGGGGACACTGGGACTTTAAGAACTGACAGAGTTTCTTGGTTGATGAGGCACAGCCAGAAGTGATCAGGCTGGGTGCTTGCTGCGTGTGCCAACCCAGTGCAATCCTTCCAGGAAGGAACAGTAAGAAAAATAACAAGCAAAATAGGTGTTCCATTCCATCCAGGAAAGATGGCGTCACCCAAGAGTCAGGGTGGATTTTCAGGGTGTGGCTTCCATGAGCACTAGTAAAGGAACACCATCATCCCCCGGGGTGATCTGCTGACTTACTCTCCTTGTCTTCTCCACAGACCAACAGAGCACCCCAGCTGAGGAATAGCTCAACTACCCGGACCCCAAAGACCCTTGTCCAGGGACCATTCAAGGCCAGTATCTGTTTGTTTCCCAGTTTTGCTGGAAATCTTTTTCCTTTGGTATCACCCTGTTTTTCCTGCACTTTTTCTTTCTCTCACGTGTCATCCTTGGCATGCTTCCATGCCACTGAGCTCCTGCGATGGAAGGGAGATGAGATTTTCCCCTAAAGCCAAATTCCTTGGGTGTTAAAGTTGTTTCCAAAAGGCTGATGGTGGCTTAGGCGCAGAAGAATGAAGCTGATGCTTTTGCTGAGTGCTGGGGAGGCGGCTGCGGGATGGTGTCACCTAACTGGGAGACAAAGAAGGTCGTGTCCCGGCCCTATGAATGGCAGCTCTGTTGGAGAGCCTGACCTTGTTTGCTCAAATCCCGCCTCTTGTCTGACAGGATCCAGGCTTTTTGTAGGCTTATTTCCAGATTTCCTTGGGGGAACACCATTCTCATGATGGAGACTTGGAGTTTTAGGATATCTCTTTCTAGTAGCTTCCGTGACTTTTTCTTTCTGCCTGTTGCTCCTGGAAAATGGGGTTCACACAGTGGGGAGCTAGATCTCCACCCAGCAGCTTTTACAGAAAGAACAGAGTGAATGAATAGACATCTTTTCTCTTTTCACCTGTGGTAGAATTTTGGGGCTTCTGCCCTTCTTGTTTATCTGCCTCCCTCCAGGAACTCTCCAATAAATGAAAACTAGTTTTATTCAAAGCTAGCAAACAATAGCAACAATGAGAACATGATAAAGTTTTAAAAAGCTAATGATTAACAAAAGGCCAATGTTAAAATTGTGGAGATGTCCTCTGAGGTACCCTTTATTTATATGTAATTCTAAGTATTGGTATTGCAACTCTGCAAATCTTTATTGAGTACCCACTTGCATTGTGATAGGCAGTAGATTTGCATGCCAGTCTGTCCTGCACTGGGGAGGAGAGATGTCCAGATTGCATTTAATAAATTTTAGTGCAATGAGGAAGGGTGGATAGTGGGAAGGAAGCTGATCCAGAGAGGGCCCAACTTCAGGGGTCAGAGAAAATGCACCGTGTCCTTTTTCTTCCTTCTGTTAGACCCAAGTTTAAATGGTATAATCTAACAGCCTAAATCACTAACCCAGAAGATTCCATGACCGTGGCAGGGAGGGTAGATCCTGCTGACTCTGGACCATCCAACACATCTTGACACGAGAAGCGATATCCAATCTTTGACAGCAAATATTTCTTGAAGTTTGATTTCCATCCATGGCTATTGGATCTGTGCTTCTATTTTATATATGAGTATTTTGTGGTGGGGGAAGGGGTGGTGTTCATTGGAGTCTGTTTCTCACATCTTCATTACAAAATGGTAACTATAACTTAGGGTTTTGAGAACTATTGGAGCTATTCAATTCTCTCGCATTTCTAGACTTCTGAGGAAAGACTGGAGACTTTAACTAGTACTGTGATCACAACAAAAAAATAAAAAGAGTTACTTTAGATCCTCATTATCTAAAACATTTAAGAATTTGAATAGTCATGTGTGTGCTTGTGTGTGCATGTTAATTAGTATTACAAAGTATAACCCAAGTATCATATGTGCAGCTGCTTGTATCAGACACCCATATGCTTTCTCGAAATGGTGTCTCTCTTAAAGTTCGTTTTTACTCCTAAATTTTAATTTGATACCTTCAACCTTAAAGCATTTCATGACCTTAAGATATTCTAAGCCCTAACTCATGGGGACTTCCAAATGGTCTTTGACATACAATATCAGTGAGAGCCCCTGGATGAACTTCAAAATAGGAATTGAAGAGACAACTCTTAAACAGTTCCATCTCTGAGGCACCATTTTGTTTTGGAAGACTAAGGTAGTCTCCTATAATCTGGGGTGTGAAAATGTTCTGGGGGCAAGTTTTAGAGACAGGCAAGAAATGTAGAGAAGCGTGGATGAGGCCCCTGATGAGTGTACAATGATTACCTGATTGTGTGGGTATGTGGATGGGTGGATGGAAGGATGGATAGATGGATGGATGGACGGATGGATGGACGGATGGACGGACGGATGGACGGACAGATATGCAGATGGGCGGATGGATGGATGAAGTCTTCATTTCTGAGCATCCCCATCTAAGAGGGCCTCAATAAGCATCTCTACCTCTGTTAAGACAGAAGTAATGCTAGAGGTGGTTTCAAAGCTCTAGATTCAATTCCTGCCCCCACTTGCCATATACAATTACTTGCTACTGATATGTGGCCTTGATTGGCTGAAGTAGCTGCTGGGATTATTTTGGATTATTCAGTTGGTGAAACTTTTTTTTTTTTTTTTTTTTTTAATAAATTTTATTGTTATATTCCCCATACAATTGCACCCCCCCCCATTCTGACCCCAATCCCTCCCCTCCCACCCCCGCCCCCCTAAAAGTGTCTCTGGTTCATAGTTTTTTGTTGATTTTGATTTTCACTTTCTTATAGTTATTCATTTTCCTGGTCCCTTATTTAAGTTTTCTAGATTCCTGCTATGAGTGAGACCATCCGGTATTTTTCTTTTTCTTTTTGGCTTATTTCGCTGAGCATGATCCCTTCCAGCGCCATCCATGTTGCTGCAAATTGCATGTGTTTATCTTTTTTGAATGCTGAGTAATATTCCATGGTATATATGTACCACATCTTCTTGATCCAGTCATCTACTTTTGGGCATTTGGGTTGTTTCCAAAGCTTAGCTATTGTAAACAGTGCTGCTATAAACATAGGGGTGCAGGTGTTCTTTGGAATTGATGTTTCTGTGTCCTTTGGGTAAATACCTAGGAGTGGAATTGCTGGATCATATGGAAGCTCTATGTTTAGTAGGCAGTTGGTGAAACTTTTTCATGACGAGGTAATGAGCTCATATGTGTAAAAGTTACTGGCTCATGGTGGCTGCTCACTAAAAATTGTTGACTATGATTAGGACAATGATTTTTTCCTCCACCTCCTTGAGAGGCTGCTGGCCAATTTAATAGTAGAAGTAACCAGGAGTGGGAGTGACCTCCAGTTCAGCTTTGGTGCAGAGAGTCTTCAGAGAGAAATCTTTTCCCTTCCCTTACATCTGTGTCTTGTCTTCTCATTTCCTCTGATCTACACTTTGTCTTTCTTTCTTTCTTTCTTTCTTTCTTTCTTTCTTTCTTTCTTTCTTTCTTTCTTTCTTTCTTTCTTTCTTTCTTTCTTTCTTTCTTTCTTTCTTTCTTTCTTGCTTGCTTGCTTGCTTGCTTGCTTGCTTGCTTGCTTGCTTGCTTAGAAGAACTGGGGTACAGGCCAGAGGTGTGGGGGTGAGAGGATTCACCAGAGACAGAGTAGGAAGCAGAACAGGCGGATCTACTGACATACATAGCTAAGAGGAGCAGCGGACGAGACAGGAGAGGTCTGCTGCCCCACGTGGGTCACCTCCCTGACTGGAGATGGAACTCAGGCCATAGAGATGATAGCGCTGAGACTTAATCCCTAGGCTACCAGGGGGGCCCCAACTAGTCTTTCTTTAGACCTTTTGCACATGCTATTCCCTTCACCCAAGATCTGCTTCCTTCACTTGGCTTAGCTAGCTCTTTTGTTCTCCAGGCCTGTTCTGATGCCTCCATCTTCTCCAGGCTTCTCTCTTGCCCCACAAGGCCTGGCTACTTCTTTACCATGGGCTCCTGTGTGCTGTGCTCACCCCACCCGGAATGCTGGTCTTGTCCATACCTCTTTCCCACCAGACCTCGACATCCAGAAGGACAGGACCTGGGATTCTTCATTGCTGAATGCCCAACACCCAGCCCAGTGTTGGAACAGCTGCCTCTCAGCACACATTTGCTGGTTGAGTAGAGGGCTCAGGGATGGATAGAAGCCCTGAGCACCCTAGTAAGAGTTTAGGGAAGTGATTACAAAATGGCAATCACAGAGGAGTAAAACAGGAACTAAGAATCCTGGTTAGTTAGTAACATCTGTCTTCTCTCCAGCGCGCCCTCCAAGATGGCTCCATTTCAGGTCCCTGTGGCATCAGACATCAGTGACCGAGGCTCCCATACTGGACGTGGAGAAAGCCCCCTCTGTTGCCCACAGGAGGCCCACCACTCCCAGGGAACCTGACGCACTCCCCCATCTGGGGCCTTCCTTCCATGTCCAGTCCGGGGCCCTGTCTGCTGTCCAAGTCAGACGGGGACTGTGCGGGATGTGACGTCTGGCTCTGACGCCACCCCGAGCGTCACTGGCTTTGGCTCAGGATCAAAGACTCTGTGCCATTTTTAACCTTCATCGGGCCCCACCTCCCCCTGATAGAGTGTTCCCAACATTTCATTGTGTGCCAGGGGATAAACAAAACCCACCAGGGCCTAGGGAAGGATACTTCAGGGGAGCGCCAAGTGCTGAGGCAGTAAGTGCTTCTCTCACCCAGCCATCAATGAACCTCCTTGAGACCATGTGAGGGAGATGGATGGTTCATTTTTGTGCAGAAGAAATCTGCAGATGGTCATCTCTGACCCCTCCCCCCAAAATAATGTGGGAGGCGGGAAGGAAGAGGCAGGGTGTCCGACCTTGTCTGTCCTTCCTCTGTCTCTGTGGTGTCTCCTAAGTCTCCTCTTCTGTTGGGTCACTAGTGAATGACACCCAAACCCCTGTTGTGGTTATTGGGGGGAACTGATAGGAGGTCATTTTATTTTCAAGTTCACTGTTCATCAAGAGACAAGTAATACATGCTTCTAAAGCTTTCGGGCACTTCAAAATATGTATGAGTTAGAGAGGTGGCGTCTGGTATAAGCAGAAGCTCAGTGAATATTTGTGCAAGAAGCAAAATCTCTCCCAAAGTCTCATTCCTGTTTAGGCTTATATCCATCTCTGTGTTCATGCTTAGTCAAGCTACATACGCAAGCAGGATATGCGTAAAAAATACAGTTTCTGTGTACGCATTATACAGACTCCATATGACTAGATACGCAGTCTATCCACACTGTGAGTATACACATCTACATTTTATATATAATCTACTATACTTCACTGCACTATGAATTCAATAAAAGCACAGTATTATGTTCAT